GGGGGGGGGGGGGGGGGGGGGGGGGGGGGGGGGGGGGGGGGGGGGCAGACTCGCGTTGGTTCTCGAAAAGTTGGTTTTCGAAACGCTTTGTTCGCTCGCAAGAAAAAAAAAAACACACACACACACACACGACATCGAGGTGTTGTTGTCTTCACAAAAACGAAAAAAGGGCGCTCTTGATCTTCATCTCATGAGGCCCCTAGACCCGGACACAGAAAGTCACAAAATTCAAGAACAAAACGTCGAGACCAACGAGCTACAGGGAGGAGAACGAACCTTTTGAGGGCGGCGAGGGGGGCGGAGAGAGAGAGGGGGAGAGAGACACACACAGACAGAGGGGGAGGGAGGGAGGGAGAGAGAGAGAGAAAAAAAAGAAAAGAGAGGGGTGGTGGAAACAAGAGAGAGGCAGACAGAAAAACGAGATGGGTAGAGACAGACAGAGCCGGCGATAGAATTCAAAACACGAAAACATCACCAAGCCACCCACCCCCAAAAAAATTCGAATTAATAATCACAAGCTAACATCCTATCCGATCCTATCCTCCCTCACCCACGGAGACCAGGTAGTGGGTCGGCCACGCAACCCTCGACGCCACAAGCTTCTCCGCGACCAGGACTTGGTTCGACAGGATGGTTCCGAACATGAGTACGAACACCACGTACGTGGCGGTGACGGTTGCGATAGCCGCCAGCGTCCCCTTGGGGATAGACCGCCCGGGGTCGGCCTTGTGAAACGAAACGAAAGAGCGTTGTTGAGTATCTTCACATGTTTTACTCGTTTGTTTTGTACCGCGTGGGAGTGTGTCAGGGCAAAATTAAGCGGAGTAAAAAAATCAACAAGACAGAAGTGTGATACCAGCCGAGAAAATTTGAATGGGGGTTTTGCTTCTTCGCCAGTGGAGGGCCGGCCCTTCTTTTCAACGTCTGTGTGTCTTTTCTTGGGGGTAGATTTTGGAGCACGAAAACTGGCTGTCTCGTCTTAACCCCTTTAGGGCTAGATCGCCTTTTGGGGACACTTGTTGTCCCCATCTTCTTCACCTGCTTTACCTCGCGAAGAATGGCATGATTGTCTCCTCCTTTGAACTACTCGACCAGGGGGGGTGCCAGGGTACACAGGAACGACTCTAGTCTAATATGGATGCTTTGTAGAGTGGAGGAGTACGAGGGTAATGAACAGGTCGAATCGCGGGGCGATTACGCCGCGGGTTCAACAGCGAAGTTGCGCCGCGCGTCTGTCTACCCTTGGGTGGAAAGCACTACTCGGAGCAAGCACGGAAGAAGTACCTCGCCCACCGTTGATCGGAGGCACCGGGCACCCTAGGGCTTGGCTTAGAAGGTCTCGCTTTCCCTCAAGAGAAACATCTTGCAAACCTCCTTTTCGTGCCCCGTTTACCACGCTCCCGCCAGTTGCTGTCGATAATCCCTATCAAACGTCCCCTCGATTATCGAGGGGGCATTTGATAGGGATAATAGACAAGAGACGGCTCAAGTGGGATGGCAGCTTTGCACTTGCATCCAGGGATGGAACTGTCTGCACCATCCAATCAGCAGGCGTCGTTCGCTCTTTTTCTTACAAATCAGAAATTTCGCAAGAACGCCACATTTTCTGTGCGTGGTAAGGGGGCTAAAAGAGCGCGGAGCGAGGACGAGGAGGTATATACTGGAGAGAGGTCAGAAAAGCCGGTTTAAGTCAACCACGGCAACAGCAACAGCAGCAACAACAGACAAATGCGTGTTGCCCCCAAAATCAAATGCAAGACTTCTGCGCACGAACAGCATTATGTAGCCAAGAACCTCGAAACCATTTAATCTACATACCTTCGTAGCCCTACCTCCGTCCACGGACGTTCGCAAGCAAGAACAACCACGCGAGATACGTGGGTTTTGCCTACTGCGCAAGACAATCAAACCGCAGAAAGTTCACCTCCAGCATCATAAAAACAACCTGCCCCCCCCTTTTTATGCTGCAGTACGCCAAACCTCGTTCTTACAATTTCCAGCAGAATATAGCGACTCGCCGACAACCTCACGGCGCTTCGCGCCTGAAGACGTGCTACAGCCTGGTCCGGTGAAAACCCGGCATATCCCTCTGTCCCGGCTTTCCGCAGGGATGCGAAATCAACTGTCCAACGAACTACGGCATGTACGGCTGTGAGTACACCCCCATCCTCCCTGAATGACACGCCAACAAATCCCCCGTTCTCACAATTTCCAGCCCCCCCTGCAAACGACGCCCCCCCCCGCCGGCCTATCAAGTCTATCAAAGTCAATGGTCTTACCGCTAAGGCATGCAAAACATAAGAGTACGCCCCCCCACTCCCCCCCCACCTCCCCTGCCTATCGATGGCTGCTCACCAGAACGGCCGAACGGTTGCACCCGGCCATGATGCCCGTCGCCGAGGGGAAGAAGAGGGCCAGCAGCGACCAGAAGGTGGGAGTGTTTCCCGTGTCCGGGTTGACCTGGTAACGGGGGCCCCAGTTGTCGAACGCCACGCCTTCCGTGGAGGACAGGTCTCCGGAGAAGGCCCCGAGGGCGAACAGGACCAGCCCCAGTATGATGCAGCAGATGGACGCCAGCGTGAGGAACAGGAACAGCGCCGAGGAGGCGTTGACGTACCTTCATCGATTGTTGTTGCCGTTGCCAAAGGCGGTTGTGAGATTTGAGCCAGGTGGCGGCGGCGGTGGGGGGTAAGTGCACGCCGTAGTCGGTACGTAGACCATCGACCTCGCATCCCTAAGTACAACGCCGGGACGGAGCGATACTGCCAAATGCCGGGTTTTCGCCGGTCCAGGCTACAGGCGTGGGGGGTAGTGGGGGGTGGGATCGCAGCTGAGAGCGTGTGTGCGCCAAGGAACACTTGAGAAAGAAGCCCTTCTGGTATCCACACCGGTACGCGAATCATTCATTTGTGCATCCGTTGTCGGAGGGACTTTCAGAAATAATTGGTCTGACAGTGACGGCAACGACGACCGTAACATCCCAAACTCACCTGACACCCACTCGCACGACGGTAGCCAGGATCGCCATCAGCACCAGAGAAAGTACCTAGGGGGGGTACGCGCAAGCGGGGAGGGGGGGGGGGGGGGGGG